TGTCACGTGCGAGGCCCCTTAAAACTCACGTGACCATCGACCTACTACTGTTTTAAATTTGAAAATTCCCTTTTTCTTTGTGTGGATATTTTAGCATTCTTATTTCCTATTCTCCTCTTGCGAATTGTGATGGGTGCTTTAAAGTTTAAACAGCGACTCTTGTAGCAGCAGACACTTTTTAATGACAAACCCTATCAATTTTATGCAATCAATCCACGGTTTAGTTTAGATTAATAATAATCATAATAATAATAATAATAATAATAATAATAACTAAATCTTATGTGAGAGCACATATATATGATCAAATCATTAGTTTTTTAATAAAATTATATTTTTCTTAGATTTTCCTCAATTATTAATTTAGTCTATAAATTTTGATCCAGAATAGCTCAATAAATAATAAGTGAATAGATGAAGTTTTCATTATTTTTTTAATGTTATATATTGTGTATTTTTAAAAGATTACGCTACATTTAATTTATTATAATTAAATAATTTATTTGACTTTATTAATCTACCTAAAATAATGAAATAATTTTTATATTAAAGACTTAAGAAAGTAACACAAAGGCAGGGAAAGATGAGAAGATAGAAGTTTAATTGTTTTCAACCTTGATTTAGCCCAATTGAGCTATGTGGCATTAAACTACTTTTTTTCTTCATATTACTCTTTACGCTAAAAAATAAGGTTAATATTACTATTAGTTTTTATAGTTTGATCAAATTTTGTTTTCAATTTTTATAGTTTTAAATCGTAGTTTCTGATTCTTATAGTTCCACAAAGACTAATCATTCAAAGTACATGGGACCCTGTATTATAATGAGCTTCGGTTCTGACCAGGACAAGTTCTCATGAAGAAACTAAAAATCACGCGGCTAGCTCATGAGAACCAACAATAATATTAACCTAAAAATAGTTGTTAAAACTTGGACATATACTCCTCCAGTCTTTAATACAAGACTTATTTAACTAATTTGATAAAATTAAGAAAGTTGAGTAAGTTAATTAATTATAAGAAATATGACATATTTTTTTAAAAACATCATAATCATCTTTCTTAATATCTTCCCTCCCTCTTTTACTTGATTATGGTTGAGGGAGTATCCATATGGGTAATTTAGAAAAACTTGATAAATATGAAAAATAGGTATTATATTTAGGACCAAAATCAACTTAACAATTAGGTTCTATATTAATGACCGGAGGAGTACAAAACTAACGATGCATATATAACACAGCGCTCTTGGAGATCCATCCACTAAACATCATTAATTTGCCTTTAAAACAAGTAATTAATTAGTTTGTCAACGGGCAAAATGGTACTCATAGGCTACCATTAACTTGATTTTATTTTCTTCGTTTTCGGTGATCTATTTTTGGTTTTAGAAAAAGAGGAAAGAGAGATCAAGATTGACTCACATGGGAAATACTAAAATAAATAAATGAATGAAGCAATCATATAATGAAACAAAGCAAAATTATAAAAAAAAAAAAGGATGATTCATGCATGTATATATATGCACATGCCAATATGCAATGTGAGCAATTTGCAAACTTGCCACCAGCTAGCTAGGCTAGCCCACCTCCAGTAACTACCCACTTGCCCTCATTTAATTTAATTAAATTCATCAACTAGATTATCTCTCTTTTGATGTCCCACCTGTCCAGTTAATTTGGACCTCAAGTTTTCTTTTATTTTCTTTTCTTTTATTTATTGTGAAAAGCATGTGTCCAGTCATTTCAAATCATAACTTGATCTCATACATTGCAGATTAAAAAAAGGAAATGAATAAAAATTATATGTATAAAACAGTGAATTTCATCTATATTTTCATACATTTGTATGGCTCTTATTGTATTATAATTTATTAAATAATATATCATTTAATTCTTGTGATTTTTTTAAAAATATTTCAATGGAAATACAATAAGTTAACGGAATCAGATTTAATTATTAAATGTCAGCCTCTCAGACACAAATCAAATTAATTATTTCCATTAGTTCCACTAGACATGTAACTTAAATTGATATAATTAATACAGCTAATATTATAATTAATAATATTGTGTATTGTTTTGTTGGCAACTTGCCACTACTTAATATTTAATTGCTAATATGAACTACCCATACAAACAATAAAAAATGTCATATGCGTTCCACCTAATTACACTTTGCACCTCATAATTAATTTACAAACTTTAAATATTCACAGATTAAACATACTATCAACAACATATTTAGTTATTGATTCTAGGATCTGAAGAAAGTGGCGGAAAGCTCTTAGTTCAAGTGATTATTAAAATTAGCTAGAGTGTTAGATGTTAGTTTGACTTTTGCTTCTTTACAAAACAAACCAGCCCACTACAATAAATTAAAAAAAAAAAGTGAAAGCTACCCACGCTATACTGAAAAAAAAAAAGACACTTCTCAGCACGAAGCCAAATATTTTAAATATAATAGCTGGTTAAAAAAATTTACTTTAATTTTAAATATAACAATTCAATGCATTTTGTCTCTTAAATATATAGATATGTTCAAATTATTTCTATGGTTTGCACATACCAAAATGATTTTCATCAAGTGGCGCATAATTCCAATGTAAATAATTATAAAAAAAATGATATTTTAGAAAAAACTAATACGTGATTTTAATAAATAATCAAGTTAATTAATTTTTTAATCTTTATAAATTAATTAACCTACTTTTATATATATTAAGAATGGGATAGAATATTATTCATGAGTCAAATCGGCTCAAAGAGAAAATTATCTTACGTAGAAGATAGTAGATATATGAGAATCTAGCAAAGAAAAGCTACATATACAATGCAATTCACTGATTATTCAAAACTCACATCATAATTAGCTTTAATTATTAAATGCCCAAAAAGATCAGATTTAGTCATATCGTACGTGTTATTACTAAATCTAACTTTTTGGTCATTTAATTAAAGAAAGACTTAGCAAAACGATCAGATTTAGTATCTTGATCATTAATCGTAAATATTATCTTTTGGAATATTTTTGTCATGTTTTATTTTTTAAAGAGTTTTGCAAACATATAAATGGAATAACTTTTAATATTTTCCGGAAGTTGAGATTTTTTGTTTTTAAAATAAATTATATGTATTATGTATTATAGAAGCATAATTTTAACATAATTAATATATCTGATGGTTTTTGGGCTGAAAATAATTCAAATGATTGGTAAAATGGCAGTATAGTCTCCTCCAATAACTACAAAAAAAAGCATGAACAACGAGGGGGCACCATCGTTTCACTTCTGTCTGAGCCGTCCCTTTCTATCATTTCAAAATCCAACGGTTCTAATCTTTTTAAGTCGGCCACAATCCCTCACGTATTTAATATTTTCCTTTCTCATATTACCCCAACTTTACATTTTTATAAAATTTTAACACACAATAAATTCATGTTAGAATCGTTTCAAAGGTAGACATGGATTGCAAAATTAGAGCCATATTTTCTCATATGCTGCCGGTAACAAAAAGGAAAAGTGACCATGTGAAAAATTAAGGTAAAATTAATTTTTTGGTTCTTCTATATAATTTTGATTTGGCTAGTTTTGACTCCGTTCAAACTTAGAACCTAAACTATAATTTACAACAACTCTCTTTCTATAGGTTTAATTATTTAAAACTTAGTTTCTAATCTTTCTAAATTACATAATTTTATTCTTTAAAGTAAAGAGAATACTCTTTTAAATGATTAAAATGTATAAATTGAGTTTCATCAAGTAAAAAATCAAAGACTATATTATAACTAAAATTTTTTGTTGGCCTTCTACAACTATATTTAAAACTATAGGAATTGAGTTCCATAAAATTAAAGTTAAGGATTGGGTTATATGTGAATTAAAATTATAAAGCCAAAAAATTTAATTTTTCTATTAATCAAAATGTGCATAGAATTTGTTTACAGATGCAAACTTTTTGTAATTATGCAAAGGTGACTATATATGATGTATTGAAATAAAGAAAAAAGTAGGTCCATAAATATTTATTTAGTATCGTTTTAATTTAATTTTTGTCAATTTATCAAAGGAAGAATTTTATTTTTAATTTAAAATTTATTTTAGGTCATAATATAATATTTAAGGAATACAACAATAATATATAATTAGTGGTAATATATGATAAATATATTGTATCACTTACTATTTTACTAGTAATTATAATCTGTCATGCTTGTAATTAGTTTCACACAAGCAAATACTTATAAAACATACACGCAACGCAATGATTTGAAATACAGGTCGTAAGTTTGATCCTGTATTCTTACTCATATAGCCTCAAATTGTCAATACTTTTACCCTTTTAATTTTTTTTAATTTTAAAAGCACTTGTGCAAAAGACATATAGAAATGACTGACTTCATGGAGGCACTTACTCTATGTTTGGGTGGAGGGAGAAGCAAGGGAAAAATAAAAAGAGGAAATAACACTACTAAACCCGGTCCTGAATATAAAAGTTAGTTGATTAATTTGAGTAAATTAAAAAAATAAGTTAAAATAGTTATTTGTAATAAATAAGTATTGTTTTTCCTAAAATATCTTTACTAATCAAATTTATTGACTAGAACTACTATTATTAGAAGGACTATTTTGAAAAAAAATAAGTAAATATAAGAGATAAAATGAATTGAGATTTTATATTTAGAATCAAAATAAAAGTCGAATGAGATCTTCTAAGGATCGAATGTAATATGAAACAAAACTTTTAAAAATAGTAAAAAGAAATAATATTTTATAGTGAGTTACTTTTTCCTTTGATCATTCTCTATTCCCAAATTTTGTTTTTATTGAGGGTTACATGGACAAGGTGATTAATAGTGATTAGGCAGAGCCACGCGCAAATCAATTTCTCACGGCGCCGAAAATATCATCAAATTAAGAAGTCCCCCCTTCCCTCCCCTCCCTCGCCTATAAATACCCCTCACCTTCCTTCTTCTCCTCATCACACACAAACCTTCTCCTCACTTAGCTACTCTCCTCTTTGTCTTCTCTCTTCTCTCTTCTCCCTCTCCAAAATGATGATGGATTGCCAAGCATGGCCTGAGCCTGTCATCCGAGTCCAGGCCTTAGCCGACAGTGGCTTAACCACCATCCCGAAACGTTTCATCTCTCAGCCACCCACCACGACCGCCCCCTTTCTCCGTCATCACAATGCTTCCTTATCTCATGAGCTTAACATTCCCGTCGTCGACCTCGGTGGTGACCCTGAGGAGACCGTTCGCCTCGTGGGGGAGGCCTGCCGGAACTGGGGCTTCTTTCAGGTGGTCAACCACGGCGTCAGGCATGACCTCATGAGTAGCGCCAGGGCCGTGTGGCGCGAGTTCTTTAACCAGACGGCGGAGGAGAAAGAGCAGTTCGCCAATTCTCCGGCGACTTATGAGGGCTACGGCAGTCGGTTGGGAGTCCAAAAGGGTGCCATTTTGGATTGGAGTGACTACTTCTTCCTCCATTTCATGCCTGCTTCTCTTCGCAACAAAGCTAAGTGGCCTGCTCTTCCGCCATCTCTCAGGTACTGCTTTATATAACAAAAAGAAAATTATGTTTATTGTACAGTTCATTGCATATTTATGGATAAAGATAAATATACTAGATATGCGTTCCCCCTCCAAAATAATAATAATAATAATAAAAAGATTAGCATAAACTTTAATTTAAAGAGAAGAAATTTGTACCAGCATTTCTCTAGATCACACATCTGCATGAAAGAGATTAAACATATGGATCAATTACAAAGGATCTTAAGATACTGTTAAAACGAAGAGATATGTAGATAGACAATTGATAATATGCCTATTTCTTGGAAAACTTATCATGTGTCTATGACTCTTCTTGGAAAGTAAAGTCACCTTATCTTTACATATCCAAATCTCTCAATCTTCTACATAACATGTGGGGACACATTGGAATTCTCTCTTTCTTGTTTTACTTTCAAAGAAATCCTTCAAGGTAAAAGTTATTTGTTGGATTACTTCACTTAGCAATTCCTTGTTTACCATCTACATATATTTCTGAACTTTTACATCTCATCTTGCTAGTGGCTAATTAATTAATATAATGATGATATGTTTTCTTTTGCCAAGATTTAGTTTCAACGTGTTTTTAATAGACGTGTATATGAATAAGTTATGACTAATTTTATTTATCTATCAATTTATTTTCAATAGATTCAACTTTACTTAAAAGTTTTTTCTAAGCGTGTTTATGTATATAGTATTCTCTCAAATCTTAAATGTAAGACATATTTTATAATATAATTTATATTATAGAATACGTTTTATATTTAGAATCAGGTGATTATTTATTAAAATAAGATTTTAGGTTAAAATAGTGGCAGGAAAGGGGCATTAGTCACAAAAGTGGAAACTTCAAAAGCTTTTAGGACCCGTCAAATGGGAGAAGGCGTGTGGACAATAAATGAGGCCGACCTAACTTTCATTGTCAGAATGTGATATTCCAAAGCTTTTCTGTATTTTTCATTTTTCTTTTTTAAAAAAGAAACAACCAAGTACTTTCTTACTAAAATGAATCCTCTCTAATTCCCAAAAAGTAGCAGTAGTAAGTGTGGATTATGGTTTGATGGTTTATATTTCATTTATTTCTTCTTTTTTTTGCGACATTATTTTCATAAAACATAATAATTTAATATTAAAAATTAAAAAATCAATATATTAATATTAAGATTAATATAAAATATAAAATCTATTGCAAAATCACTATTTTTTAATTCATATAATATATATCGTGCTTTATGTGATAGTGACAAGTTACAACAGAGAACCGAACTCCTTTCTTCACGAGATGGAAGGTTCAACTTTGGAATCCTGAAAGTCTACCTACCAATGACGTGGTGCCAAGTAATAATTTAAAAAAAAAGCCATGCAAAACGTGGTTAAAAAAATAATTATAAGCACTTACGAAACATCAGCTTGCGAAAAAAAGTAGGTCAAATAATCAACAGGATTAATTAATAAAAATTACCTAATTAATGCGGCAATTAACACGTCTATATGCTCTGTTCAAAGATCAAATTCCACATTATATATATTCTGTAAATATTGATGGTCAAAGTTTGTGTAGTTTAAATCTTACCGGTTAAGTTCCTACCAGATATTCAAAACGCATGTTTTATTTCTGAGAGATTCATGTGGTGGTCTATGCACATCACATTTACAGGTGGCTATAAAGAAAGAGTAAAAAGTGTCCAAATACAGAATGCAAAAAGCACATGTTGGTCTATATATAGATAAGATATTGTCAAGAACAAGACAAACCCAACCATTACATATCATCATCTTTTATCACTACTCTTTCCTTTTCCTTTTCCTTTTTTTTTTATGAATCAATTCTGTACATATTAATGACGTGGATTAATTAATTAACATATTTACATTATCTAAATCAATATTTTTTTTGTTGGTGGTGTAGGGAAGTGGTCGATGAATATGGAGAAGAAGTGGTGAAGCTAGGAGGAAGGATAATGAAGATAATGTCAAGGAATCTAGGGTTACAAGAGGATTATCTTCTGAATGCATTTGGAGGAGAAGAAGGGATTGGTGGTTGCTTGAGGGTGAATTTCTACCCAAAGTGCCCACAACCTGATCTCACACTTGGCATCTCACCACATTCTGATCCAGGAGGTCTCACTATTCTTCTTCCTGATGATCATGTCTCTGGCCTCCAAGTTCGCAAAGACGACCGTTGGATCTCTGTGAAACCTCTCCCTAATGCCTTCATCATCAACCTCGGCGACCAACTTCAGGTCTATATATATCTCCATCTTTCCTTCTCTTAATTAAATGTTCTCGTGCATTGCATAGAGTCTGATAAAAGATGATATTGATATTGGTAGTGATGATATCGATGTGTATTTGTGTAGATTGTGAGCAATGAGATATACAAAAGTGTGGAGCACAAGGTTGTGGTGAACTCAAAGAGTGATAGGGTATCTTTGGCTTTCTTCTATAACCCTAAGAGTGATGTGGTGATTGAACCAGCCAAGGAGCTTGTGACTGAGGAAAGGCCGCCTCTCTACCCACCAATGACTTTTGATCAGTACAGAGCCTTCATTAGGACCAAAGGACTTAATGGCAAATCTCAAGTTCAGTCTTTGATGAATTGCGATAATAATTAAGTAATAATTTGTAATAATTCTATGATATTTCCATCCATATATATCCCATTAACAATGAAATTAGCTCTTGCATTGCTATTATCCATCCAGCCAAAATTTCTATGTTGTACTACTCTGATATTTCATTTTATGAAAAATATGTGTATGTTTCAACTGTATGTGTAAAAAATCATCTTGATGTATGCTTCTTAAGACACAAATATGTTAATTAGCTCGGGTATATGATATTATATATGCAATTAATTAATTAATGGATGGAAGTTAAATAGCACAAAACGAAAGAAAAGCGTGATTATTAAGGGAAGAAAATTAATTAATGGAATTGGTGGTGGTGATCGACATAGTACTTTTCCCGCAGGGTACGTTGAGTAAAGCTTTACGGCTGCATGTGAATTTGAAGGAAAATGTAGGGAATGTGATGAGCATATAAGAGTCAAGAACAAGAAACAAGGAGGAGATATATAAAAAGAGACGTGCAAATTAAAGCTGAATGGTGGTGAATAGGCAGGCTTACCTTTGAGGTGTTACTTCACACAATAGTGCAAACAATAAAGTCCAACACTATGTTTTCCCACCATCATCATATATAGCTCGTGCCACTTTTTCGTTTTCTTTGTTTTTTTGTCAGTAAAATATAAAACACATGGTGGACCTTAAAGTTAAACAACTCAGTGGTCCTATATATCCAACAACAACTCCAAAGATATCAATATGTGCGCTCCATTTTATTAACAAATTTAACCATTTAAATGTATATATATGTGTACATATAAAGTGTAACAAGAGAGAATAGTTGTGTGAGAGGTTTAATTATTTATATCTCCTCTTAATATTCATCACTATGTCTGGTCTTAAATTTACTAGTTGTTGAAGGCAAATTTAAAACAAAAATTACACACTTCTTTAGTCAAATAGGAATTGCAAAGTGTTGTGTACCAAGTTTTTATGTACAATGATTGATCATTAATATAATTATAAGTATTTACTCCAATATTGCATGGGGATTATTGAATACTTTATATAATTGAAAATCACACTCGTTTTCCGTATGTGTACATACCTGAAGAATGAAAGCATACATGTGAAAATAAATTGCTTCATAAGTTGTTTTGTTTTGTAAATAAATAGAATAGAGATATTGAATATTGTCATCTAAATCATATATAATTTGTACCAATCGTTCAAAATTAATAAATAATGTAATTGTATTTATTAAAAAAAGAAGAAGAAGAAGAAGTTAGGCAGCCATGTGTGTCCCATGGGTTCTTAATTATATATGTAACGTATAGGAGAACATTCGAAACTCAGAGAATATTCGATGGAAGTTAATTTAATTGGAAAAGCTTCATCTAATAATTATCACGTTTTTAATGACCAAGTGTGAACTAACCACAAATTATAACCATACTAATCCAACCATTCACCTCAATAAAGTCACTAATTCTAGAAAACATATGTATGAGAATTATGGAATCCTCTATGTGCTGTCAAATCATGAACCACACCCTGCAAATTCACGTTTTAGTTCATTATGATATGCGTGTCTATATAAAATATAATTGAAGGGTTTCAAAATATATATATAATTTAGGTGAAAGATTTTTTTTGGCCTGAAGGAAAAAACGTCGATGGCCAAATAAATAAAAGCACATAGAAAACTAGGAAACATTTGCTTCACATAATATATACATGTGCATGAGTTTAATTATTTGTTACTTGTAATGCTTACAGGTTTTATAAATTATCCATTTCATAACATTGATTTTATAGATTTTCTATCATATATTGATGTATTGATCGATGTATTCTTATAATATCCTCATATTATTGTGCGAATATTACTACCTCCTGCTGCTGCTTAACATATAATTTGGATATATTAAGAAAACTAATTAAATTATAGTTATCTATGTGTTGGTAATTTACTAAAATATATTTTTAAATTATTTGTATTGTAACCACTTCTTGATATAAACTTTTTTAATACGTGCAATAAAAAGGATAATTTATAAAAAATAATAAATATGGGGATAAAATGGACTAATGTCTTATATTTAGAACAAAACTTAATTTCTAACTAGCTTTTATACTAGAGAGTCAAGGTAGTTCTACGCTAAGTGTACTGAAAATTCTTGATATATATATATTACTAAAAAAGTAATTAATTATTGACAGAATTTAATGGTGGGATTTGAAAATTTTGTCACAAAAAAGGACTATCACTTTCCTCGCCAAATTTCGATGCTAATTTACTGTTTTTTTCTTGGATATATATATGCAAAAGGAATAGTTTTAATCAAGCTGAAACAGTTCTTGTCATAATATACAGTACATATAGCATTCCTTCTTCTTCTGCTGGGTCCTTCAAGCAAAGACGTCCCAAATATACAGATATTACAGTCACTTCATGAATATGTGTTTGTATTATATATATAAATATATATATTCCCCTCTTTATTTTATTTATTTAACATCCGATCATTATTCAAACAACACAAACGAACCTCTCTCTCTCACAGCAGGAAGCTCGGAACCAAAGGTGATTGACATTGATGAAATGAAGCTGCAAGCTGATTCCAAGGAAGTAGGTCCCAGTTTTGGTTGCAGAATTCTGGAGTGAGTGATGACGAAGAAGAAGAAGAAGAAGAGGAAACAAAAAGGTCCAAACTTGCTGGGAAATTAACCCTAATAGTATCATCATCATCATCCTCGACGACTCTCTGCTTTTTGTGTGTGACAACGTTGGACCTATTACTGTGTTTAGAACCATAGCTAGCGGGCTCATCATCATCGGATTCCTCAGAGAGACAAGGCATTGATGTCGTCGTAGGTGCAGTATTATTTCTATGAAGCTTATTACTATTGCCGGCAGATTTTCTGGAGATGGTTGAGTTCTGATAAGCTTGGCCCAGTCTCTCCAGGTACCTCCCTTGAGCTTCCATTTTCAGCTTCAAGCTCCTTTGAAACTTTCAATTCCATTCCAAACAATATGTAATTTCATTACCAGGCATTTTTGTTAAAAAAAAAATTCAATTGGGAGATTTATATACTGTTATTGAAACTTCTGTTTCTTCAGTTGATGTAAAGAGAAAAATATGTTCACAGATTCATATCCTAAAAATTTATGTTGTAAAACTTATAAAAAAATTGTAATTATATTTCTCTAGGAAGAAAACTACTACTGAGTTAAAATTATAATTTACAATATCTTCTATCTAAAAATCATAATATTTAAGCTGAAATCTTCAAGGCGTGGAGATCATACACATGGATTTTTTCCTCTTTTAATAAGGCGTTCTTCGTTTTTATAGCCTATCATAAACCAAAAATCCATATTCTTTTTCTTCAAGGTGAAAATAATTGTGTTTTTGTGCTGTTATTAATTTAATTTGACCTGCTATATACATTTTTTTTGTTTAACTTTAATGTCACGGAGTATAATTTTTATTTTAATTTCAAATTTTTGGCATTCAAGTGAGACAAAAAGATTATAGAGAAATATTTGGGATTTTTTTCCAACAGGAATATTTTTTTGTTAATAATCAAACTACTTCTTTTAGATTAAAAACTAATTATATTCCCTTCAATTATATTTTCTTCTAAAATTGAATAAAACCATATCATGTTGCAAAATTTAAAATGTTGCATAAACTTCTTATTATGATTAAAAATCCCGAAAAGATTCAACATAAAAAATTGAATTAATTCTGAAAATATATGTGTGTGTGTACCTCCAGCTGGTCGCTCAAGCGTTTTTGTACTTCCATTTGCAAGTGTAGAGCTTCCTTTAGCTGCACCGTCCTGATTATATTTTAACATGAACAAGCAATACTAATAAGTAAAAATCATTATTAATATTAAAATAATATAAGTAATTAAGAATATGTCGGTATTTCCAATAATTGACAATTAACATATATATAAAATTAGAAGAATAAATCGTTGACGACTCACGCTAATGTGCTGAAATTAGGCAGTATGTCCGATATGCTTCTTCTCTCAAGCTTGCTTCCTTCTCAGCAAAAGTTAAAGATCACTAATTAATAATCTAAGAATTAATTATTGGTCTATGAATTAAGATTTTTCAAGCGACGCAGCTCAATTTGACAAGAAGTTTAAGAACTTACTAGTAGCAGACTCTGGAATCAACTTGTTGATCCTGTATTTCTGAAGAAATCCAAAACGAAGCTTGTTAATTAATTATTAATTACTAATTTAAATGGACCTTCTTTTTATACATTAATAATTAAGTACTTCTCCGGTCCTAAATATAAAATCTTATACACACTAGTATAAGGGTCTTATATTTAGAACCGGAGGAGTATATGGTATATAGTAGGAACCTGTAAGTGGCTTTTGACGTGATAAATGGTGATTCCAGATGCCCCCATGCTCGTCATCTCCTTCACTATACTCTTTGGCGTTGCTCCTGCAAATTAAACCCACATTCACAAAGTAATATTATCTCATCTACACCAGAAATTAATTAACAATAAAGCGCGCACGCACACACACACACATATATAAACACGTACTATCAGGGCCACCAAGTCTGTTGACAGCTTGAACGAAGAGATCATGAAGTTGATGAGTCCAACGAAGGCGTTCTTTTGCAGAGGCATCAGATGAGGAAGGGCGATTGGAAGCCATAGCTTCTCTGATGATCTTGTTGGACGGATTGAGTTGAAGGGATTAAATTGTGTGGCACGTACAAGCATTATAGAGAGAGAGAGAGAGAGAGAGGACAAAAACATTTGTAACATATATGGTTGGAGACACACAGGTAATTACCTAGGCTAGCTTGGCGATGCCCACTATGAATTTCTCAATTATGATTCTGCCCAATGTCTTCAGTTGTCCCAAGGCCAACCGGCTCTTCTGAAATACTACTACTTCTCTTTAAGTTATACGCACAATATATTATTATTTTATGTTTATCTTCATCAAAGAAAATTTATGCTACAGTCAATCTGTTCTAAACATAAGAGTTAGATAACTAATATACAAAAACTAAAAATATCAGTTAAGTTAATTATTTATAACAAATATGTGTTGTTTTCTGATAAAACATAATGAAATCGTGCAATCCATGTAATCAACTCTATTTAATGGAATAATACTTGTTGTTGTCGTGTTGATTTTCTTAAAATGCTCCTTTTAATCATGTGATCAGAAACTTCCCTTGTTGATCAAAATACTATCAATATATGCAATTAGAAAGGATTGGGAAAATAATTATAAATTTGTGAAATAAAAATGAATTGAGATTTTATATCTAACATCAAAACAAATTCCTCAACTGGCATTTATATTTTAGAGCAGAGGAAGTATTAAATACCAAGTATTAGTATTCCTTCAGACATAAATTACCACACATAATCCATATTTGGAAGCGCTTAAAAAATAAATTTTTGTTTTATGAGACAAAATTTCTCTAACATATTTATATATTTACTTCATATGGACGTGAAATCACTTATATCCGCAAGTTGTAAGAAAGCAATTAAATTTGGCGAATGAAAGTTGGGTCTCGAGCACTATTTTTCATTCTGTGAGCTTGTCCTTGTGAAGAAACTCCTAGTCAATATCGACATGAAAAAGAGAGCAAATAATTGCCACCAAAAAAAAAAAAAACAGAGCAAACAATTATTTGCTAATATATATTTTTAAATATGAAAAATTTGTTCTCTTCTGTCTATGACAAACATCTTACAAATTTTAGACTATAGCCGATAAATGATGCATATAAACAGAAAATCTTACAAGTTTGCTGGTCAACCTAAATTACCACACCAAGGATTTTGGTTTTATTGTCATTATCCCCTCAACAGCATAGGATTTAGATCCCGATAGGGACTGAATTGAAGTGAAGGACACGTTATGGTACATTTCTCTGTCGGCTCTTCGTTTTAAAGTGCGATTTATTACTATAAATCCATCATTCTAATCACTTGAATTTGTAATCGTCATCTGCAATAACCAGCCCACATCTTTTGGCACTTTTTCCAGCAAGAAGTAAAGCAGTAGAGTTTTCTTACTGCTTAGGGAATCCTGAATTTGATGATTAAGACGCAGTTCGTCAAGAACAAAGAAATATTTCCAATATCCCAGAATAAACAAAAAGTCGGACAATCCTTCTATGGCTTTAGGAGTATGTTCAATTATCTTGGAAGTAGTTTGGATTGGATAAACAAAAATCACCAGGCACAAAACTCAAGTTCGAAAATAATAATGTTAGTAGTCTCGAATTTAAGCTTTAATTTGAGTATATAGTCGTGTTTACATACTTTTGATGCCTGTGTAGTCCCATTGAACTCGATTTAAGTTAGTTAAAAGTCTAATGTACTTTTAAATATCAAGTGATTGATTGTGAATAAAACAGAGACATTTGCAATTCAACATAATATTCACATTTTCTTGTGCTGTTAAAAGATTATATTTAAACTCAAAATTAAATATAAATTATTTAAGTTCATATTTGAAAGTTTAAATATCACTTTAAGGATGAGCATGTCCCGATCATCTGAGTGGAGTGAGTGCCGAATTTGAAGCCTGCAAAATCAGGCTCCATGACATGATTTCCCAACGTCAACGAACAACGTTGACCACAGAAGAATATGCATTGAATCTTACATATTTGTCTTCATGAAATTTATACTACCAATTACTTTTAAGTTGAGATTGGGGGAGCGTCAAAGTGAAATCTTGTAAAATACGTTCCTATGCATTTTGGCTGAAGGTCAGATAAGAACGCCAATCTATACGGAAGAATTAATTTGGAAAAGTGCTATCTTGTGCCCAAAGGATCCGAACTCCACCAAATTAGAATATATCACAATCTATTTCTACGGTGTATATGACATTATTGAATATTCTCACCGAAGTCAAGCTTAATATCCCTCAGAAATACGAGTTAAACATAGTATTATACCTGTTACGTGCCCTTTCGTAAGAAATATAGCAC